CAAATCATGGGATGGTTTGGGTTGGGAAGGATCTCTCAAGGTCATCTAGAGCCAACCAAATCACGTACTCTGAGTTGCAGCGCAGGATCTTGCACTGGGGAGAGACTGGGAGGCAACTGGGGGGGTTTGTTTCGGCGGGTTGGGTTGGGTCTTTGTGGTTTCTCTGTGGTGTTGGAGTTATGGGGTTGGGTTGGAAGGGAACACGAAAGGTCAACTAGAGCCAAGTGCCCTAGAAGTAGGGACATAGAGTCATGGAATCATGATGGGTTGGGTTGGGAGGTCATCTAGAGCCAACCAAATCATGGGATGGTTTGGGTTGGGAAGGATCTCTCAAGGTCATCTAGAGCCAACCAAATCACGTACTCTGAGTTGCAGCGCAGGATCTTGCACTGGGGAGAGACTGGGAGACAACTGGGGGGGTTTGTTTCGGCGGGTTGGGGTTTTGTGGTTTTTCTCTGGGGTGTTGGAGTTATGGGGTTGGGTTGGAAGGGAACATGAAAGGTCAACTAGAGCCAAGTGCCCTAAAAGTAGGGACATAGAGTCATGGAGTCATGATGGTTTGGGTTGGAAGGGACCTTAAAGATCATCCAGAGCCAACCACCCTACAAGAAACAGGGATATAGAGTCATGGAATAATTTGAGTTGGTGGGACCTTAAAGACCATCCAGTCCCACCCCCTGCATGGGCAGGGACACCTCCCACCAGCCCAGGCTGCTCCAAGCCCCATCCAACCTGCCCTTGGACTGGGTAGAGTGGGGTTAATGGTTGGTAGAGTTGGGTTCATGGTTGGACCCGATGATCTTCAAGGTCTTTTCCAACCAGAAGGATTCTGGGCTTCCTTACCATGCCTGCAGAAGAGGAGGAGGAGGAAGAGAGCTCGGAGGAAGAGGCCGGGGTTTCCCAGCTGCCCCAGGCTCCTACTTCCAGCAGGTTTCCCCATCCCAATCCATGCAGAGCCCAGGGGGTTCCTCACCCACGGGCTCCTCTTCACCTCATGCAGCAGGTCCCCTGGAAGTGAAGCACAGGTGGGATCTGAGAAGTGCTGTGGGGACTGAGCTGCACCAGCCCCCAGGCCCTGGGGGGGGGTGATTGGGGGGTTTCATGGCTTCTAACCCCCCTCCCACCCTTGGGTGTCTCAGCTGAAGGTTCCAGCTGCCTTTGGAGATGATCCCTGGTGACACGGAGGGACCTGTCTCTGTCCCAACGTGGATAAACAGCTGGTTAATGAGTAGCAGCAAAGTGTGGCCAGAGGGGAGGCCCTGCTGGGTGCCCCGGGCAGCAGGATTGTCCCCCAGGCAGCAGGATTGTCCCCCAGGCTGCAGGATTGTCCCCAGACTGTCCCTGTCCCCGTGGCACAAGGAGAGCAGCAGTGGCAGCACCTGGAGATGCTCCA